CATCCAAACTCCTTACCAAATTTGAAAAAAAAAAAAAACAGAAAATAAAACTAATAATCAAAATAAGAAAAAAAAAAATTAAGTAAAATTAGTGCGTGAGCGAGAATGTTTTCGACACCACCATATTTGGCCATTTTTTTTTTTTTGGCATAGCTTAATGCCCTGAAAATACACTGATGTGTACTTCACATAATACAAAACTCACTAAAAAATATTCAAAATATAATAAAATTGTTTGGGCCCCACAATAAAGTGAAAACAAACAGTAAAAAGTGAAGAAAAAAAAAATAGTCAATTCTTGACACCACCATCTTTGGCGATTTTTAATTTTTGTTTGGCTTGGCAAAATGACTTTAAAATTTAAAAGCATGTACCTCACATCATAAAAAATTCACAAAATAAAATTCAAAAAAAAATCTTATTTTAAGACCCTAAAATAATTTTGGCCGCTCTGGACGGGCCGAACGTTGGGACGTACGAGACCCCTTGGGGATGAGCGGCCGAACGCGGAMAAAAAAAAAAAAAAAAAAAACCCTCTAAACATTCCAAAAAAAATAAATATGTTATATAATAAAAAAAAGATAAAATAAACAACATTCGGCCAAACWCCTTACAGAATTTGAAAAAAAAAAATAAAAATAATAATAACTATTAATGAAAAATAAGGAAAAAAAAGAGAAATTGGAGAAGTGAAATTAGTGAGTGCGCAACCCCGTTTTCGACACTGCCTTCTTTGGTGATTTTTCATTTTTTCTTGGCGTAGCCGAATGCCCTCGTAAATTACATGTGTGTACTTTAGATGATACAAAACTCAATAAAAAAGTTTCAAAAAATTAATAAAATTATTTAGACCCGAAATGAAGTGAAAACAAAATAGTAAATAGTGAAGAAAAATAAAAAAGTATAAGTGGGCGAGCACGTTTTGACACCTCGATCTTTGAATTTTTTTTATTTATTTTTTGGTTGTGCAAAATGACTTGAAAACTTTTAGGCATATACCTAACATCATATAGAACGTGCGAGCAAAAATTCAAAAAAAAACAACATTGTTTTTAGGTGCCGAAATAATTTATGGCGGGGGCTGAAATCCTTCAGGTTCTGACTTCGAACGGGACCCCGAACTCCCGATCGTACGGAGGTCCGGCCGGGGGCTTCCGTACGTACGGGCTTGTATATATATATATATATATACATGCAATAACCCATGCTGTATGCCTCGTGGAAAGTCTGAGGGCATTACCGAGCCGCACTCAGACCGAGGCCGAAGGGGCCAAAAAACCCCACATAAGGATTCAGGGTCTGGGCGAGTTACAGTTGACTAAAGTCACCTGTCGCATTCCCAACAGTCAAAGTCAAAGTGTACCTAGCCTAGGCCGCCAGTCAGAAGCACACACTTGTTTGTATGCAGGTACCCAGACAGTATCAGGATTTAGGGGAAAATCTGCAGCTGTACAATCCAGGCCCTCGACTGTGAGTCAATCTGCACGACTATAGAAAGGGGACCTGAGGCCAGTAGTAGAGAAAGCAAAGCAAATCTCCATGCAATGACGATCGCCAAGTGTGAACACTCAAAGCCAAAAGGAGAGGAAAGGAACGAGAGAAGGAAGAAGAAGGAGAGAGAAGAAGAAGTATGAAGAAGAAAAAGAAGTAGTACCAAAAAACCCCCCCGAGCGCATCAACTCAGTATATTGCAATAAACACAAAAAAAAATGGTGGAACCCCTGACATCAGGTGAGAGCCACCGTGTCGTGAAGCGCAGCTGGCAAAAAAGAACCCGACAACTGTTTCGGCCGGCTTGCCAGAACCGGTCCTCCTCAGAGGTCGCGCTGGGTGTGATTTAGACAGACCTACGGGAACTACTTATAATCCTAGACTTACAACTACGATCTTCAGACAGTCCCCAAAAAAAGCGGGGCTAACCTACAGGCCCAAGAATAGTCCTAAGGTTCACCAATTCCTCCAACGGGTGAGGCTGCGGACCCATGGGTCCCAGATCCCCCCGATCTTATTATTAAAATGAATAAGAGCCTGATCGAAATATAGGCCCGGAAAGTTCCTCTTCCGCAATTCAACCTTCAAACTAAAAAGAAACCCTGCTTCGGTCCCTGGTAAAGTGCCCGGGCCCATAGAGTACGCTATGTGAAGAAAGGAAGAAATCACCGCAAACTTCTGTTCCTTACTAGAAAAGGAATTAAAGTCCTGTAGATTTTGAAAAACCAATCCATCACCTACTAGTACACAATCCTGATTTTTATGGAGGGCTTGATAGTAGACCTTCGCCGGTTGCTTACCAATAAGCACCCTACAACCCAAATACGGCATTCGTTCAACTGGCTCGTACGTTCCAGGACCAAGTATCTATCATAACATTGCGTTTCAAATTTATGAAAAATTAACTTTGCTTTCTGTAAAGACTTCTTGTCACCAACTCGGACCCTCACAAACAAGGAAACATTGTCGATCATTCTACATCCTCTTATCAACTTGGCATCATTTCCCAGGCTACGAAGAAAAACATACTCATTGTGCATGCACATAAGGCACGCAAAAGTCGGGCTGGATGATTTGCCCATTGGAATTCCTAAAGACTGCTTAACCACTCTACGCATTGCCATGGTGTAAGTATTATTCAAATCATAGGTAATAAAACGAATTAACAAAGAGAACCTAACGGACTTACATCCTACGTCGCTGATAGCAATTCGACACATCCGTACCCGTTTTTTGCGAGCACAATACAAAAACTTGAAAAAAAACTTCGCTTCAAATAAACTGATCGCCCATTCGACCGCATAAATTATTGCTAAATGGGGAAGCCGACAAAACATTTCTTTCACGTCGTAACTACGCCCAAATATTTTCTCACCTTCGTCAACCATCTTATTAACTTGCTCAAGGAATATCGGTAACATCTGCGTACTGCCAAGATTAAAATGACTAACTTTCAGAATTCTCCTAATCATTTCATTAACACATGTTGAAGTAATACGGACGGCTTTCCTTGTTGGCTCTGACCAGGAAGGACAAATTGGACGCCATTTACTGACATCCTTATGTTTGGGCAGAACATAGGAACGTCCTAACTTACCCCCATTCGCCCAGGGCGATAACTGCATCAACTTAATTCCCTTGTAATCTCTCGCACAATCAGAGAAAACTTTCCCTTCGTCATCATCGATACTCAACATCCCTTCATTGTCAACAAACAACTTACGCATCCGGTCCTCGTAAATAACGGGACAACAAGCGTATGTGTCCCCCATATTGTGATCGAGCGGGGACAAAACCAGTCCATGACATGCTCTTTCCATCGCAGAACTTGATCAGAAGAAAAACGAGATGCTGAAGTGTTACACAAAGAGTCACAAACCTCAGAAGTAGGAATGACCACTTCCTTACCAAAAAATTTCGAAAGTGAAGAACTAATCTGACCACAAAAGCCTAGTTTATTAACAATATAGTTAGGAGAGATAATATTCTTGGAGTTAAGAAGAGAAACAGGAACAAAGTCAACCTGACTGAAACGAAATGATACATGGCCATCCTTTCGAGGGAAACAGTTGCTGAATCCTGCGCAACCACATACCACATCCATGCGACATGCATGAGCGCGATAGTGATAGACAAGATCGCCTACCGACTTATTCTTTGTCCAAACTAGTCTAAAGCGACGACAAACCAATTCCAAATAGGCGGAGGGAAAATCAGCACTTCGGATTGCTTTTTTACACGCATCACGGACCTTTTCTTTTATCAATCCGTCATCGAACTTAATTCTAACAACTAACCTAGCCTACAGGCATAAATTGAACTTCCTTCTACATGCCTGAGAAAGAATAAGCTTCAGAGTAGACCGAGACTTAGTGCATGAAATAAAACGAGTACCGTCATAAGCGGTGATGAATCGATCTAAATCCCAACTACGTATAGTACTTCTAGAAGAAGGTTTACTCAGAAAAAGAATCAAGGTATTCTTAATAGATAGGGAACGGGAGCAGAAACGACATAGCTTGTGGACAGTGATTGCAGCATCCTTCTTGAACCACTCTCGACAGTTTTTCAACAGGCTAACAGGGATATTGGTAGAGGAAATGACCGAAGAGCCGAAAAAACGTTTGACAAGTTTTCAGTTATCAGCAAGAATAGAACCGGAGGTTATGTTAATAGAGAATGGGGTGGATAAGTGAACTTCGAAGGATTTCTGAAGCAAAGAAATGAGACTAATGGAGGTGATATTAAGAGAGGGTAGGTTAAAAGTGACGGGAATATTAATATGGGGTAAGGGAAAGAGGGAAGAGGTGGGAGGACAAGAAATAAGATGAGTAGGATTGGAAAGTATTGAGGATGAAGGAGTGGGACGAGGAAGTATTGGTGGTGGAGAAGTAGAAGATGATGGAGAAGAAGTAGATAGATTGAGCAGCCAATTTCGATGCTGAAAACGATGACGCTCTTTTCTACCAGGGCGATATTTACGCCTACAAAATCTAAGTTTGGATGAAGAAGAATTCAAGGATGGATCAAAGGATCGGATGGAGAAGCTTTCCGATTTCAACAAATCCTGTACATGGGATGCAAAGATAGGAATTGCGACGTAGCCATTCAGACTCACACGCCTCAACCAACGATATAACTTTCGAATAGTCGTAACCTTTCCTAACGCCGAGGTGGAAGCTATATGCTCCTTCCATCTAACTACTACGGAATGAGAAGTACAACCAATATAAGTGTGACGGTGCCATGGACAGAAGAAAACATACACTACTGGACTAGGACAGAGGTGGAAGTCATAGTTAATATTAATAAGAAGCGACAGTAGACTACGAAATTTGTTACCCCATCGGACTTCACAAGAGATAATAAGAAGAATGACAACAAAACGAAAAATATAAGTTACCTCTAAAGTAGGCAGCGACCCTCGATAATATCGGCAAAACAAAGCCAAACTCCGCAAGTGTGATACGCTCAGGGCGCCTCCTCACTCATCGTTAATCTCTTCCGTGGAGGTAGCATAATCATGATGATGATGATGATGATGATCATCATCAAGGATCTCCTTCGTCTTAAGCCATTCATCATAGTCCCGTCGCGCACGAATTTTGACGATATCGGTCTTAGCCTGATCAAGTTTGATGTAGGATATCTCCTCGTCCACACACATCTTTTCAAGCTCGGCCTTCTTCTCCGCGCGAACTTCCTTCATTCTCCTCTCCCTGAATTTCTTGTGCATCTCTTCCTCCAGATCACGCGCCACGTCACCGATAGTGTGACCTCTCTCCATAGCCACGACATCATCCTGCACCTCCTTCTCACCATCGGATTCGATCTCCACGACATTCAAGGCTGTTTTTAAACTTCTTGGAGTTGCCTTTCTGCAACCGGTTTTTCGAACAGACTGCCGATACTTAGAAGCTCTCATCCTGGCCATTCGTTCCTTCAGCGCCTCGGCCTCGCATAGAGCCAACTCCTTCTGCACCAGAGCCTCTTTGTACGCCTTATGCAACCCTTCAAGATCCTTCGGAGTGTACATAGCCTCGCTTGTTTTCACTTTGCCACGCGATGGCTCTTCGGGTGGACTCTTCTCAGTAACTGCCGTGCTACCCCGCTTACCTTCGTTCCGAAGGTGTACAACCTCATCACGCAAGTCCTTGAACTCATTGCGGATGTGCGCGTTTTCAGCCTTCAGGCTAGTCAGCTCAACATTCCTCTCATCCAGCGTCTTCCGGAATCCGCTTAACTCAGCAACTTGCATCTGCAAGGCAACAAGATCATCATTCTTCTCCTCCTGCACGCCGCCGGCTTTGGCTTTCAAGTCCTCAATCTCACGGCGCAGCCGTTGCTCTCCAGATCCCTGATCTTGCGCTCTCTGCAGAGCCTCCTTCTCTTGTCGTAGCGATTCGAGGCTGGAAGAAGTCGAACTCCCAGCACATCTTGTCTTCATATCATCAAGCTCCTTCCGCAACTTGCTAACCTCAGACTCTTCGTCACCAGGAAGATTCACTTTCCTGCCCAATGCAGATTCACAAATGACCTTCATACTCGACCTAACTATTTGTCCTAACTTAGCTTCCTGCAACTCCCTCTCCTTCCTAATTTTTGCACGTTTCTCTTCATCTGCCTGGAGTCTTTTCTTTTCTTCCTCCAGAGCTAATACCCTTGCTGCCTCCCGTTTGTGTTGCTCCCTCTCCTCAGCCTGCTCATGTAGCAGACCTGATTCTGTCGAATTTCTCCTCCTTATCACGCTCCCTATATCCTCCGTTCCATGGCCTTGAATAACGCTGGCCATTATTATAACCGCCGTTGTAACTACCACCATTATTGAAATTCCTGCCTCAATTGTTGTAACCACCTTCGTTAGAGTAACTATTAGAACCACCATTGCTCTTATTCTGCGGAGCTTGATAAGGAACAATAGCACTTGATGTACTCGCCACATGCGCCGGTGCTGGAAGAATACCCCCGTTTGAAGAAGAAGAAGACTTTGAAGATCCTGGCATATCGTTGCGAATATTAGCAGTTATCTCAGCACCGTTCGGCAGATTCTGAACGGGGCATTCACGTATCAAGTGCCCTGGTAACTGACAGAAGTGACAAACTAGTCATCGGTACATCCTGAGACGACTAATACGCCCTCAATAACAAAGCACCACTGCGCAAAAGGAGAATAGACCAGGAGGAGGATGAGACGAATGAAGAAGAAGAAGAAGGGAGGTTGGAAGGCGTCAGAGTAAGCAAAATGACAGAAAGTGTGCATGAGAGTTAAAAGGCGCGGACATAGTCACTCTAATAGGGTGAAATCTCATCGGTTATCTATGTGTTTGTGGTAGTAGAGAAAGCAAAGCAAATCTCCATGCAATGACAATCGCCAAGTGTGAACACTCAAAGCCAAAAGGAGAGGAAAGAAACGAGAGAAGGAAGAAGGAGAGAGAAGAAGAAGGATGAAGAAGAAGAAAAAGTAGTAGCAAAAAAAAACCCCGAGCGCATCAGCTCAGTATATTGCAATAAGCACAAAAAGAAATGGTGGAACCCCCGATATCAGGCAAGAGCCACAGTGTCATGAAGCGCAACTGGCAAAAAAGAACCCGACAACTGTTTCGGCCGGCTTGCCAGAACCGGTCCTCCTTAGGGGTCGCGCTAGGTGTGATTTAGACAGATCTACGAGAACTACTTATAATCCTAGACTAACAACTACGATCTTCAGACAGTCCCCCAAAAAAGCGGGGCTAACCTACAGGCCCAAGAATAGTCCTAAGGTTCACCAATTCATCCAACGGGTGAGGCTGCGGACCCATGGGTCCCAGACCCCTCCGATCTTATTATTAAAATGAATAAGAGCCTAATCGAAATATAGGCCCGGAAAGTTCCTCTTCCGCAAGTCAACCTTCAAACTAAAAAGAAACCCTGCTTCGGTCCCTAGTAAAGTGCCCATAGAGTACGCTCTGTGAAGAAAGGAAGAAATCACCGCAGCCTTGTCAAATGCTACATAAGGTTGGGCCTTCGGGTGGTCAACATCCAGTCTTGCTATGTTGCCTCGACGATGGCTTGACGCTGGCTTGACTCTGGCTGGACGCAGGCTGTGCGCTGATACTGTGGACGACGACGCGGGGCTGTGGCAGAATGCTGATGCTCTCCTGTGCGCCAGGCATGCCACTTGTCTACGTTGCTGATGTGGCGCAAACCACTTGTCTACATTGTTGATGTGGTGCTGCCACCTGTCTACATTGTATTGCTGATGTGGCGCGACCACCTGTCTACATTGCATTGTTGACGTGGCGCTGCCACCTGTCTACATTGCATTGTTGACGTGGCGCGACCACCTGTCTACATTGCATTGTTGATGTGGCGCATGCCACTTATCTCTTTTGTTGACTTGGCACTGGCCACGCTGTCTACATCAGGTGACTGGTTGCGATAAGGAGGGAGATTGGGATATGTGGACGATTGAGGGACGGGATACTTACCTGAGTCTGACGTCGATATTATACGCTGCTGATTGTCTTCACTATCTTCATGGGAGAATAGTGCCACGTGACACTTCTGTAAGATCATGACTTATTGGACTTGTTTCTGTTTATTGATTGCTGGCGTGGAGGGAAAGGAAGCCCAGAGAAGGAGTGGGAATGGTTGGGCTATTATTGTGTGATATTTGATTCTCTCTTCCACCTTCTCCTCTATCTATTTCCCCTCTACTCTATTCGCCTATTGGTAACGTGATAGTGTTTTAGGTATCACTTCACGTTAACTTGAGACTTTGTGCAGATCCGAGACTACTTGTGTTTTGACGTCTGATGAGTATCTGCTCGACTGGGTTCATATATATCATATATATATATGGTTACCAACCGCTCTACCCGGGTCCTGGTTGACCGTCCCGTGGTGGGACCAACGAAGGCTCTGGGCAAAAAAAGATGCAGAGGAGTATTGAAAAAAAAAAAAAAAACGAAAAAGAAAAAAATAATATATTATCTAGGCTACCAGAGCGGCCCGGGGCCAGTTGCCCGGCCGGGCCAAAAAATAATAAAAACATGAAAAAATAAAAATAAAAATAAAATTTTAAATCTATTTTTTATTTTAAATTTGGTAAAGAATTTCGATGTGACCTTGAGACAAAAGTTGTTCAATTTATTCTTGACTTTTTATTTTTTTTTGCTAAGACCTTTCCTGGGCCTTGCACGACCGGGCCGTTCGAGAAAATAGGGTGACCCGGGCGGCCCGGCTGGTAGCCTAGTATGTTATGCAAAATAAAAATGTGAACAATTATTGTCTCAGGGTCACATCGGAAGTCTTCACGAAATTTTGCAAAAAAACATAAAAATAATTTTTTCTTTTCTTTTCTTTTCGCCTGGCCTGGCAAGTGACCCCGGGCCACTCCGTTTTCATACATATATATATCGTATGCATATATATATACCGAATGCCCGAACGTACGAGATCCCTTGAGAATGCGTTCAGCCGTTCGGGCCGGACGAAGACAAAAAAAAAAAAAAAAAAAAAAAAAAAAAAATTTATAAAAAAAAAAAAAAAAAAAAAAAAAAAAAAAAAAAAAAAAAAAAAAAAAAAAAAAACCTCAAAAAAATCTGAAAAAAGTATATGTTATGAAGAAAAATAAAATAAACCACATGTGCTTAAGCATAACATCCAAATTCCTAACCAAATTTGAAATAAAAAGTGAAATAAGGACAACAAACACTAATAATAAAAAATTAAAAAATAAAAAGAGAATTAAATTTAGTAAGTGCGCGAGCAAGTTTTCGACACCGCCATCTTTGGTGATTTTCCATTTGTTTTTGGCATAGCCAAATACGCTGCAAATTTACAGATGTGTACTTCACATAATACAAAACCCATTAAAAAAGTTTCAAAAAATAATAAGATTGTTTAGGCCCCGAACTAGAGTGAAAACAACAAATAAAAAGTGAAACAAAACGTGGGCTAGCACGTTTTGATACTGCCATCTTTGGCGATTTTTAATTCTTATTTAGGTAAGTCAAATGACGTCAAAATGTTTAGGCATGTACCTCGGATCATTAAGAACTCACAAAAAACAATTCAGGAAACAAAAACTATTTTGAAGCCCGGAAATTTTTTTTGGTGGGGGCCGAACGCCTTCGGGTTCGGACCTTGAACGGGACCCGGAACGCCCGTACGTACAAAGGTCGGCCCGGGCACCTCCGTACGTATGGGCTGGTAACCCTGTATATATGTGACGATATATATATGTATATATACAGGGTAACCGACGTTCGGGACGGGCCAAACGCCCGAACGTATAGGACCCCTTGGGGATGCCTTCGGCCGTTCGGGCCGAACTCGGGAAAAAAAAAATAAAAAAAAATGATATGTTATGACGAAAAATAAATTAAACAAGATTTGCTTGAGCATTACATCCAAATTCCTTACCAAAAAAAAAATAAAAAATACGGATAACAAATACTAATAATAAAAATAACAAAAAATAAAAAGAGAATTAAATTTCGTGAGTGCGAGAGCACGTTTTCGGCACCGCCATCTTTGGCGATTTTTCATTTGTTTTTGGCGTAGCTAAATGCCTTGAAAATTTACAGATGTGTACCTCACATAATACAAAACCCACTAAAAAAGTTTCAAAAAATAATAAAATTGTTTAGACCTCGAACTAAAGTGAAAACAAAAAGTAAAAAGAAAAAAAAAACATGGGCGAGCACGTTTTGACACCGCCATCTTTGGCGATTTTTAATTCTTATTTGGCTGAGCCAAGTGACTTCAAAATATTTAGACATGTACCTCACGTCATAGAAAACTCACAATAAAAATTCAGAATTTTTTTTTTTTTTTAGGCCCCGAAATAAGTTTTGACGGGGGCCGAACGCCGTCGGGTTCGGACACGGTACGGGACCCCGAACGCCCGTACGTAAGGACGTCAGCCCGGGATCTTCGTACATACGGGCGGGTTACCCTGTATATATATCGTCTCGACGTTTTTAGAGTGCAAAGCAAGAAAAACAGAAAAAATAAAAATAAATCGTTCATATTTATTCTTCCCTCTTACTCCCTCTGTTCAAAACACATGGCCGCCCACATCCCGAAGATGAACCGACTGGCACATTGACAATGTAGAAGAGGACATCTTTTTTTTTTTTTTTTTTTCCTTTTTTCTTTTCTATAGACATTTGTAGAATTGTATACCATACAATGCACAACTAAAAAAAACAACAAAAACTCGTATATATATATCGTCAAATATATATATATATATATATCGTCACAAACAGAACTATCCGGTAAACCGTCGGCAGAGAGAGAGAAGAGGACAACATATATATATCTGTGTAGCATCGTGTTCGGGTTTTGTGACCGAACCCGAACGTTCGGGACCGAACGCGAACGAGCGCCAAAACTCTCCGGACATGAACATAAAAAAAAAAAAAAACAAATCTCGAAACAATCTGAAAAAATATATATATATATTATGTAAATAATAATACAAACAAGTTTTGTCAAGGAGATATGCTTAAATTCGTAACCAAACTCGAGTTAAAAATAAAAAACAATTTTTTTATATTTTTATTTTTGATTATGTTATTGCCGAACATGGTCTGGAGGCATTCGGCCAAACACCGGAACATGTTCGGTGTGCTACACACGTCACAAACAGAACTGTCCGGTAAACCGTAGGCTGACAGAGAGAAGAGGACAACAATCGAGGGGCTGTGACAAACTGTTTCGTCGGAGTTTCACCGACTCATCAGGAGGCTGAACCCTCAACAGTCTGCAGAATCCCCTCACTGATTACACTGTAAATGATAATCTACCTTAACCAAAATCAAAATAGACTATCACTCACCCACACCAGATGGAAAACTCTACAGACTGTCGGTTCACACCCCATCGCAAGCCAACAAAACATCCACGAAACAAAGAAAGGTCTGTTACAGCTAAAAAATACACTTCAGACACGCCGCTAGCCCGCTGGCACTAGAGGCATATACAAGGTAACCGGCGTTCGCGACGGGCTGAACGCCCGAACGTATGGGACCCCTTGGGGATACGTTCGGCCGTTCGGGCCAGACGCGGACAAAAAAAAAACCAAAACAAAAGTCATAAAAACCTCTGAAAAAAAGATATGGAGAAAAATAAATTAAACAAGATTTGCCTGAGCATTACATCCGAATTCCTTACCAAGTTTGAAATAAAAATAAAATCAGGAAAACAAATACTAATAATAAAAATAAATAAAAATAAAAAGAGAATTAAATTTAGTGAGTGCTCAAGCATGTTTTCTACACTGCCATCTTTGGCGATTTTTCATTTTTTTTTGGCATAGCTAAATGCCCTGAAAATTTAGATATTTACTTCACATGATACAAAACCCACTAAAAAAGTTTCAAAAATAATAAAATTGTTTAGACCTCAAACTAAAGTGAAAACAAAAAGTAAAAAGTGAAAAAATACGTGGGCGAGTACGTTTTGACACCGTCATCTTTGGCTATTTTTAATTCTTATTGGTCTTAGCCAAATGACTTGAAAATTTACAGGCATGTATCTCACGTCATTGAGAACTCACAAAAACAAATTCAAAAAAATATAATTATTTTTTGGCCCCAAAATCATTTTTGGCGGGGGCCGAACGCCGTTGGGTTCGGACCCCGTACGGGACCCCGAACGCCCGTACGTATGGAGGTCGGCCCGGGGACCTCTGTACGTACGGGTTGGTGACCCGGTATATATATATATATATATTTATTTATTTATATATATATATTTATATATATATATATATTTATATATATATATATATATTTATTTATATGTATATAGGGTCACCAGCCCGTACGTATGGATGTCCCCAGGCCAACCTCCGTACGTACGGGCATTCGGGGTCCCGTTCGGGGTTCGTACCCGACGGCGTTCGGCCCCCACCAAAAATTATTTCGGGGCCCAACGATAAGTTGTTTTTTCTGATTTTCGTTTTGTGAGTTCTTTATGATGTGAGGTACATGCCTATAAATTTTCAGGTCATTTTGCTCAGCGGACTAAAAATTAAACATCGCAAAAGATGGCGGTGTCAAAACGTGCTTGCCCTCTCACTATTTTGTTTTTTTTCACTTCTTACTTTTTATTTTCACTTTATTGCGGGGACAAAAAACTTCTTTTTTTTTTTGAAACTTTTTTAATAAGTTTGGTATTATGTGAAGTACACATCAGTTTTTTTTCAGGGCATTTGGATGCGCCAAAAAAAAAATGGAAAATCGCCAAAGGCGGCGGTGTCAAAAACGTGCTCGCTCACTAACTAATTTTAATTCTCTTGTTATTTTTTCATATGCCCACCACACGCTTGATTCACTCCTCATGGGCTCATTCCCCTAGTTGATCGGACCACGCAACTCTTACCCTTATCACCAGTTCGACCGTCTCATGCCATTCGAACTTCGGCGGATTCTTCCCTACAATCGGAGAGCCTCGGGCCGGAATCTTGTCAAACACTTTGATGTCAGTGCTCCAGCTTACGGTCCTCCCTTCTGCCTTTAATCATTCATTTTCGGCTAGTACCAGCCTTGCCGCGTTTTTCCAACTACTCCCGTAAAAATATCCTCCCGTTCGCCTGCTAGGCAGGTAAACCTGCACGTCGTACTCATCCAGATCTACGATACGGTAGATGAGGACGTACAGGCGTTCGTGCTCTATGCCGCCCTTCTGAACATACTCATACTTAATGAGTTCGTATGGCAGTACCTCCTGCCTCGCGTTCTCGTTCAGGGCTCGTATTACTTCGTCAATCTCCTCCCTCGTCGGTCCTCGCTCTTCGGGTGATCTCTGAGTCCAATATACGTGTCTTAGGAAGACGGTATGCCTGCCCATCTAAGCCTAGTGACGTCTCTCCATCAAGCCTACGTCTGAAATCCCTACCGCATCCTCACGCGTAGGCTCTAAACCCGACCACAATCCTCGGGGAATGGATCATGTCTGCCTCAGCCTCATCCACCTCGTCGGCCTCCTCTACCTCATCCTCTGACTCAAAATTCTCATCGTCAGAGTCCACCCAGTCAGGCTCCCACGCCTCCTCGTCGTCAACGTCGCCGTCGTCCACCTCCGCAGCCACGTGATATCCCGACGCCCCTATGATCTCGTAGTATCGAGTCAGCTGATAAGGGGCTATCAGAGCCTCGCTACCCCACCACGAGTCCCAGTGGTCCACGAAGAGCACGCCTATCGACGTAATATAGTCAGGCCCGACCCTAAGCTCGTGGTCCAGCAAATCCCACACGTAGGACGGCGGGGGATGCCTCCACTCGTAGCTCTCGTCTCTCCAACCTCCAGATGAGCTAGGGGCGATGGACCGGATTAGCTCTATGAGTTGAATCCTCTCGTCTCCACACTGGGGTCTCGGAGTCACAAGGGAGTAGTAGATGTAGTGGATGTCAAGATCCCCCCTCGAGAAACGCTCGAGCTCTGTCGCGGTGAGATAGGCCTCGACCAAGCCTCCTACTCCGCCAAACACCTCGTCAACCACAAACGAGGGAATGGTCGCCCTCAATCTGCAGCCTGAATGTGGGAAGAACCCATCGTGGACGACCTGCAGCTCCCCCGTAATGATCTGGGGAGGGTACCTATCGGTCCACAGCGCGGTGTCCTGCTCCTCGAGCTGGAAAGCCTCTACCTCCTCCTGAAGATATCGCTCTGCCCAGCCGATGATCACATAGGTTCCCCACGTCACAAAAGTCAGAGCAGCCTTCTTGGAAACTTCTGGACTCAAATACAGGTTTAGCTGCTAGGTCGTAAGGGCTTTGGCTGCTCTTAAGTTCCCGGTACATCCCAAGCCAAGCGCCAGGCCACATGAGGATCGACCTCCACTTATACCGGCCGTCGTGCCAGTTAGTGGGTCGAGATGGCAGGGTGAATTCAACCAGATCACCCTCTATAAGCTCAGGAGGATCATTCACCCAGTATCGGTCCACTACATACTCCTCTACCGTCGAAGGTGGCCACATCCGTCTACCTGAAGTTCTGTTAGGTAGTAGAGGGTAAGAGAGGGCAGAAAAGGGAGATAAGAAACTCAAAATTTCAGAAATATTTGGGCACCATCTACCCTCCCCCCATTGGGATCGGGTGCGGGACAATGTCCGTATAACAAAGCTGCCTACCAAGATACCAGAGAGGACCTAAGCTAACCCGGATATAGAGGGTGTCAAACTCCGGGCTCGAACGGAGCCTACACGCCTTTTACTCAAGTTCCCTCGAATACAAAGTGCGCGCTCTATTCGAGGGAACTTGGTCTATCGCACCCTCGAGCGCGCTTCTGACTAGCAGAACTCGTCCCCTAGTGAGAAACTCAAAATGTAGTCAAATGATACTCGTTCTTTAAATTTTTAAGCCATTATATGATTTTTAAGAAATTTTAAAAATTTTAATTAATAAAAAAAACTAAATAACAAGAAATAACCAGTACTACACCCCCAAAACCCAGGGGGAGTAAACCCAAGGCCAAAACGAAGCTCAAGGGAAGTTCCAAATCCTTTTTGTCCTTTGTTTGGATTTATTTTTGAATTTTCAATAATTGATTGTTTAAAATTAAATTTAATTAAAGAAAAATTCCTTTCTTTGTTTTAATCATTTGGAATGGCAAGTCAAACCTTACCCAACAGCAGATATGTCCTGCCAACCCCTTCTATCCTTTTTTAGCAAATTTTCTTGTATTTTTTAAATATTAATTGGGTAAAAATAGAATTAATTCGAATAAATCCCTTTTCTTATTTTATATGTACTAAAGATTGGAATACATTGAAGCCTACCGATTTTCAAAATTTATGGGCGTAGAAAATCATTTAAGGAAATTTCCAAAAAATTTGGCAACACTTCGCCTCCCCCGGTTGGGATAGGGTTCAGGACAATGTACCTTGATTAAGACTGTTGGAAGGAAAATGGACGTAAGATAATTAAAAAACGAAAAAAATATTTTTTAATAAATTTTTAGCTAGGCTACCAGCCGGGCCGCCCGGGTCCCGGGTGGCCAGCCCGTGCAAGGACTCCCAGCAAAAAAAAAAACAAAAAACAAAACCCCAAAAAATCTGAAAAACAACTATGTTATGCAGGAAAATAAACTGAACAACTTTTGCCTCAGGGTCACATCGAAATTCTTTACCAATTTTAAAATAAAAATAAAAGTTTAAAAATATTATCTTTATCTTTATTTTTTTTAATTTTTTTGGCCCGGCCGGGCAAGTGACCCCGGGCCACTCTGGTAGCCTAGATTTTTACATATTTATTTTATTTTTTATTATTTTTTTATTAAAATTTAAATTAATTTTAAGGAATTTCTACAAATTTCGGCATTACTTAATTTTAAGGAATTTCTACAAATTTCGGCATCACTTTCCCTCCCCTCGCTGGGATGGGGTTCGGGACAATATCCCTTAATCAAGGCTGTCGAAGGGAAAACGAAAGTAATATAAATGGAAGGTAAGAAGTTGATTTTCAATTAATCTTTAGATATTTATTTTGATTTTTATTAATTTTATTTGCAGAAAGTTAGATAAATTCTCTTTCTTTCGCGCGTAGTATACCCCACGCGAAAGAAACTCTAATCTCCTCGTTTTTTGTCAGCCGCAAGATTTAGGAGTTAGAATTCATTGTAATACCTAATTTAGTCTTTTATGTTAAATCCCGCCTTAGAGCTTTTCCCAATTGGGGTTTCCCCCAGTTAGGTTTAGGGTTTTACGCGCGACCGCATGCTCACCGTAAACCTTGTATCACTGTAAAATATTTTCGTAAGAATCTTCAAAGTTCGAAGTTAAAAGTTATCAGATTACATTTTTTTATTATTGTCCCTTTTGTTTTAAATATATTATTAAAAAAAATTACAATTCCCTTATATTTTCTTTTACTGTCGTTTCTGTTGAGGGTTGTCCTTTCTACAAACGAAGCCCGTTTTTCTCGACCTATGTCTCAAAACGTCGAAAAAAATTAATAGAACAACTTTGCCTCAAACGGGCATCCCTAAATTTCTTTCCGATTTCTGAAAGTTAAAATAAAATAAAAAAAGGATTTTTAGAATAATATTTTAAAAAAATAAAGAAAATGAATTATCCCCAATTTTAGCTGTTAGATTTTTGTGAAAAGGGTATTAAAATTTTTGCATTGATGCAAGGACGAAGTTTGATCCGGGCGCAGCTCGCGCAATAACGCCCGTAATAGGAGATATTAAAAAGAAAAAAACAATTAATAAAATATCAAAAATATAAATTTAATCAAGAAAAGTTAATTAAACAGACTTATTAGCATGTGGCTAATCAGCTTGCGCACCCCCGTTCGATTGGGGAAGGCCGAGGCCTTAGGGGTGCAGTCCCCTCCCCGGCAACGATGCCAAGGTTGTGAGGAAACCCGGGGAGGGAACCGTCTGTTCGCTGCTGAAGCCAAAGGCAGCAATGCCTGTCACTCCCCGTGCCCGCTTCAGAGGTCCTCGACGCTGAACAGAGGGTGGCCTCCGGTGATCTTACTATCCCCTTACTTAAAGGAGAGCTTTGCTCTGTCATTGGAACATGGCAACGAGATATGATCATTTTGGTTGAAACAAAATATTCTCTTTTTACTGGTCGTTCTTGATTCGAGGGTTGAACTACCCTTAACAGTCCCCCCTCTTCCTTCCTTTGTTCTCCTCAATCTGATGGGACTTGTTTCACCCTCATGTTCCAAATCAGTTCCTGGCCGATCAAGTAGGAGGAATTAAAACAAAAATAGATAAATGGGGATAATATTGACCGAAATAAAAGGGCATCAAATCAGTTGACAAAGTTTGATTTCGAGTTGGGGGGGCTAATTATGAGTTTTGAACTTTGCGATATTGCCAAGTCTGCCAGCCCAGTCTGCAGATCTCTCTCTAGGATGCTCACCTCTCTCTCTCTGCCTCCATCAGGTCAATCAAGGGAGGGAAAGAAGTCGAATCCTTCGAAAGGCTGACTTTCGAACAGGCCAAATACAACAGCGTTCAAACTCGGTTTCGAGGAGGCTAGTGAGTCAACACACAGGCTGGATTTCTCGCAGTCCCTGCGCGTTAATCCGCAGAGTTGATTACATATACGCCGCACAAACCAACAAGCCAATCTGCGGACTCGCTTCTAGATATTGCAGCGCGAGAGCTGGTCTGTAGGTTTCGCCTCATGTGGCGTGATCAAAGGTTAGCAGCGACCCAATTCAGGGGCTCTGCCCCAAACAGCCCAATTGAGGGTGAGCCGCTACCCAACTCACGGGTTCTGGTACAACTCGCAGGTTTGAGGCATAAAATCCATGCAGGATTTTACCCGAGCCGAACCACTGTCTATGCTCACAAGCGACCAGCAAGAATTACACGAGCAAATTAGCAGGCTCAGTTCAATTGATCGGCCCGTGTGATCGTAGGCTCGGAGCCATTCAGCGTGCCCTATTACAAGCAATCTGTGAAAGTGAACTGAGAGCCATTCAGCGGCTCCATTTCCAAGAACCAGCAAGAGTAAGTGGGGTTGTTTGTCAGATGTCTGTGGAGCAGACAGCGAACCTTTTAGTGTGCCTGATTACAAGCAATCCGCTACAGTGATCTGTGAGCCATTCAGTGAGCTTGGTTACGAGCAATCTGTGAAAGTGAACCGAGAGTCGTTCAGTCTCATCAGTCATGCCCCATTGGATGACTCAAGAGATTAACCAATATCATTCCTCAATTCCCCCGAATATTATACATACAACGTCCTTTTTCTTGAGCTCCACTTCGCCTACCATTCGCCTACTCAATGTTTGACGAGACCGAACAACAATTCCAATAAATTAATAATGATAATTATAATAATTACAATAATACTATTAGTGTTAATATTAGTAGTAATATTAGTAGTAATAAGGACCTGTATACTCGTGGCTTCTCCCTGCAATCCATACGAGCTCTGGGCTCTCGGGCCCCGTTCAGAAATTTCATTCCCTCAAATTCAAGCGAGATGGAAGAAAAACGCCTTCATGCAGGGCAGCGCTGAAGGGATCAAGTCTCTAGATGTGATGGATATGTATGATGCTTGTTCAGCCGTTCCCTCTGTAAGTGAAGTTCCGTCCCGATTCACATGTTTCACACCCTGTTTGCTTTGTGTGCAGACCTGCGCTGGATTAGGGGAGAATCGCAACGAGATTCGTGAAATTTGGTGCATTCAGCGTAACAGCAGTCGGCATGTCCCTTTTGAGACGGGAGTTCGACGCAGAGTGTACTGAGAGTTCCCTCTCTCTCTCTCTCTCCAGGTTTCGCGCAGCTTTAGTGTTGCTGTTTTTGCCAAGGTCTGAATCCGCGAACGGTCACTCGAGAGAACAGTTACCTGATACTTGACTATAACAAGCTAAATGGCAATGCAGAACCGCTGTGAATAGCGGGCTGGCGCCTGAGAACAGTCTCTGATAGTACGCTTGATCACATTGATGCTCACAAGAACCCCCTTACTTTTCTTCGGCTGTAATAACCAATCTTGACACTAGTAGTGTCGCTGATTCCGCCAGTAGTTACGTGACTGTTCTTCATTGCCAGCGTCACAAGTTCCCCTCTCGCTGCACTTGTCAAATCCCGCCACCGACGCATTTCCCTGGTTCCCACAACACTTCGCCTGTCAGATCTCATTACCACCGCATTCAGCTGGTGTCATATGATCTCATTTCCAGCCCGTCTGGATGGCCTCACATCACAACGCTTCTCAGTTCTGATTATCAGCCCGTTTGTCAGGTCCCTCTTCAACGTTATACTTTATCTCCTCACCGCGCCAGATGGTCATCAAGCACACCGTCTTGTTCCCTTTCTCCTGAGGAGCGACACTCCCGTGTCTTGCCCGCTTCCAGTACTAGGAGCACATCCCCCTGAAGTGGCTCGCTGCGCGCGTCGGGCTCATCGCTCACAATGTATACCCCCTCCTTACTTCACCAA